CAGTGCCGTCTGTTAAGTCGCGACAACCGACCGCGCGCGACCTCGTGAGTCAGACGTCACCGACCCTTTGGGGCAGGGTAGTCCCTTTAGTTAGCTTCTTCTGGACACACAGCACGGGTTCATACAGCCGGATCGCAATTACTTCAGTGGCTTCTAGTAGTCGCTTGCGGACGTAGTTCGAGCGGTTCTTTGGGGCCTGAAAGATAAGTTTGAACGAACTTTGTGGCGTGCCCTGTATCGGCTAGGTGTGTGGCTATTGAAGAGTTGGCTGTTTTTCTGCTTCCAGTTCTAAGCTCGATCGGGTGGTGTTCCTTCATTTTCTCAGATAGACGCCTTGTCGTACGACCAATGTATTCCGCTCCACAGCAGTATGAAAATGAGTAGACGCACATTGAGTTGGTGTGGACAAGTCTCTTATGCTTTGAGTTTAGTCTCACCATCGGAATGCTAGTGAACTGGATTTGAATCTGTGCTGCTGGATAGGCGCGTCTGAGTGCAAACGAATGAGAACAAGAGAGAAGTTTCGTCGCAACCTCGCCCCTCTATGGGAGCTGTAGGGAGAGTGGATTACGTTCTACTGTCAAAATTACAGGCTGTTTCTTCTTATGTTCCATGTTGGCTCTGATGAAGCTTTCGGGATAGCCATTCTCTCTTAGCACGAAGCAAATGCACGCCAATTCCTTCGAAAGCATGTCGTTCGAGCAGATACGTTCAGCTCGACTCAATAAGGTATGTATCAAGTTCCGTCTAAATCTAAGTGGCACAAAGCTGCAGAAGTTTGTGTACTGCCCATTCCACGTACTTTGCCTACAGACGTAGCGCTGCAGCGCACCCCCATCAAGTCTTTTCATGGCGACATCAATGAAATGAAAACAACTGTTTCCTTCAACTTCGTAGATGAACTTTATTGCTGAATGGCCTTGATTGAACGTGTTTGTTAGTTCCTCGATACTTCGAGACGATTGAAACAAGACAAAAATGTCATCTACGTAACGGCAATATATACCGAGACCTGGCTTTAGCTTTCCCTGTTTTAGCATGACCATGAAGACGTCGGCGAGGAACGGACCCAGTGGGGAACCCATTGCGACCCCATCGCAGTGCCGGTATAATTTGCCATCGAATAGAAACTGAACATTGAGTGTGCACCTGAGCGATAGTTTCTTTAGGATCACCGTGGGTATACCAACATTAATGTGGTTTGCATCAACATATTCACAGATGTAGTTTATAGTCTCAACTACTGTTGGCATACCCACGGTGGCTGTCGTCGATTAACAGAAAGCAATGTCAGCATCCAATTAACTCGCTCTAGGAGTAACGAGTTTTAATGTCTGTCTGTGTATTTTGATTTGCATATAATTGTATAAGCCTGAAGATGAATTATCAAAAACATATGTCCGCTCACCCTGACTTCTGAGCAAACTATGGGATTTTTAGAGCATTTCCCCACCATCGTCGATCGCTATTATTCTGCCAAGTTATGGCATTTCGACGCTCGAACCCAAATCATTTGAATGAACGGACTTCGCATCCTACCCTCAGTGGTTGTTGTGGCAATAACAGATTTTTCCAGGATGGGGAAGCGAGTAATGGTACCGCGAGTAACCAAACCTCGGTTCGCAGATCAAAACTGATAAGTCGAGTGGGAGCAAATGCGGACAGTGATCGGGCATGTGTCCGACATGTGAAGAGCGAACACCTAGTGCTAAGCTTATACCGCACGAACAAACAACTGCGTCACCCACCTCGGTCGAGAACTAGAATCCGAGTGGCAGCAAACAGTAGCAACCCTAGCGACTGGTTTACACGCACTTTGAATGCAACGACCGATTCATTATGCGAGACGCTGCGCATTTAGGCAAACTGTTAGCTATACCGAGGAAGTCGATCAGTTCACTAATCTAGGCTGCCGTATCGGCTGTGATGGCCAAAACCCACGGAGATTTAACTGTGCGACCTTATAGGGGCGGTGTGGCTTTCCAAGATATAACTAAGGACGAAAACAGCAGCAATTTCAGATTAGCCAGAGCATAAAGTAAAGATACTGCCACCATTCAATGTAGGCATTAAGCAATCATTCGACTTCAGCTATCCTGGTCAAGGAAAAAGCGTCCATATATGCAAGGAGCCAGAACAGGTAGAGTTGATATCTGATGGCCAATGATTAGCCACAAACATTAGTGCGGCACAAATGATCACCCCTTGGATTTCGACTGCCTACACACCGGTTGGATCAAGTTCCCACATGCCCGTTGGTATCTTACCACAATTGCGCCCGACCGCATGAAGAGTTGGAATGACCGGGAAAGAGATTGTGAAGAATCATGAAACAAACGATTGATGCATGCTTTACACGTGAAGTGGGACGATGTAGGCGGCAATCTGGGTGGTTACGCAACGATCCGACATGGCAAAGTAGAGAAATCGGTGAGTCTTGCATTCAATTCTTGACTACCAACTGCTGTTTTATCCATCCGGTCGAATCTGCATGGAAGGAAATTTATCCCCAATGTCACCATTTGTGAAGTTCAAGTATTAGAACAATGAATCTTGGGGAGCGCATCATAGTGAATCGAAATGCCAACTTCGAGTGCTTGTCCAATCTCCAAGACATTGATAGACGCAAGTCCGGAAGACAAAGTTCCCTCGCGACAAGTGACCAAACTCAGGGGTATGATGGTATTTACGGTGGTGGCTAGTGGGTCATTTAGTTGTCTCCACAATGGTAATTCAGAGAACACGTTCGAGAATGGATGCTTAGGAACAGTACTCTGAGTATATTGTCCATCGGAAATCCCAACTTATAACAGGGGCTTCGGAAACGAACCGCCGCATCAACACACGCTGCACCAATGTGATAAGCAGTAGCGAAAACGACGCACACACATACACTAATGGTGACTGATCGAAGTGAAATGCGTACAAACAAGCTCGAAGCCGGTCGTGGAGTGCTGTGTTTTCAGGTGGGCAACACTCAACATCCGTTTGCTTCAACTACGATCCCAGTAATCGAACTGGCCCAGGTTCGCTTCAACGGGAATCGCGGTCCACATTGGGATTGTGTGTTGCAAGCCACTTACACAACGAGTGTTTCAAAATAACCCATCCAGACGGCTAGTAACCATTGCGACAAGCGTTACCGGCCACGACTCTGTGGCTTAGGGGTAGAGGTTGCAGCTGGCGTCTCACAGGCCTCGGATTCGAGTGCCTGCTAGCTCTACCTGATGGGACCAAACAAGTTCGAGACCGATCGTGGAGTGCAGCGTTTTCGGGCGATCAACACAATATCACACAAACCCATTTACCTCGCGGCTGGCATCAGCAGAAGTAACCAAAATAGGTCACTGATTGGAGGTTGAACATTACCTGTCAGCGCATGCGTCGCCGGACAGAGCAAGTGCGTGGTGAGAAGAGTATTTCCCATCTACTTCAAGAACTAGACATCAGGCGGATTCTGTAACGTCGGTTAGCATACTGATGCATATGTACCACCTTCACTGGCTGAAGAAGCGTGAAAGAGTGCCCCACTCCGAATGGTGACACAGTCAGTGCGTATAAAGCAAGCAAAAAAATGAGCAGAGCTCGAAATTGTATATAAGGAACGGAGTGTGCTGATGGCTCAGGGATGCACAATGCTCTTGTGCCACACTTGGTTGAACTTGGACAACTCTACTCTGTGTAGCGACATAGGCGATTTTTGATGGCAACTGGGTGACAAGCACTAATTTCGATGTGCTAACTATACATCACTTTGCGCTTACCGCGACTAGTCAAGTAACCGACCCATCAAATGATTCCCGCAGCCTCAAGTGATCATTCAGAAAGAGTATACGAAATACGAACCGAAGATTGTGTAGTTCGAATCTAGCGATCTGACGCGATGTCGCAATGCTTGCAAACGGCTCAAAAATGGGCTACAATGACTTGCAGTACAACCGATATAGCTTTATTACCCGGAGTGAGCACCCGCCGGCTGATTGCACCGTAGGCCTATCACAATCTGGTCAGTGATGTAATAGATGCGTTCCTTACGTGTGATAAAGGCAAGGTTTGAGCGGAAGCAGGGCGATACTGTTGCTTGCCAGAAACCAGATGGAACGATATCTATAAGGCTCGCCTTTCCTGTTCAAAACCGATCTCCCTAGCTACATCTGCCGCTTTACACATGTAAAGACAAGGTTTAGCTGCACTTCGCTCGTTTAAAATGACAATCCTCAATCAAGGGAACAGTATGGTAGACAGACGGAGCAAGTTGCGTAAGGACACAACGTTATGGAATGGAACTTGTTAAACGGAACATATGAATGGTCAGGGTTATCATCTGCTGTGGCTCTACGAGTTACTGTCACCTTTCAGTAGCCTGTCTACTGTCAATGGACATTGAACTCTGGTGAGCACTTACGCAGAAACATGGTCCGCTGTCCCACATATACCATGGGATTACACAGATGTGAATTGTGGAAGATTCATCCACCGCCTGTCGCCGTTTATGCTGTGGTTACCTATTAAACAATGAAGGACCGATCGTTAGACTAAAAATCAGAAACGGAGCAAGGATTGAGCAACGCTGGTGCCCATCTCCAAGAACTGAAATGGATGAGGACAGCGGTCTAGTGGCTCAGGCGTCTAACCAGTAATTCCTAGTTTGCCGGTCCAAGCATTCATAGATCAGGGTGACCTCGCAGTATCCTTAGCCGGTGGCAGTGAAGCGTCGGTACTATGTACCAGCGTAATACTGGACTCTTTTGAACCGCATGATTGAAAGACTTTAGATGCGAAAAAAGTTAATGTACAGTACAGATATAAACGAATCCGGCTTTACCTAGCTGTAACAATGTCAGATGTATCGAGCTAGAAAAAGCTACAGCATTTAACTTTCCACTCGCAACCAAACTCAACGTCACTCGTTGCTGGGGTGTCCTGCGACGTGCTGAAAATGGCTATTGATCAAGCATGTGTGAGTCAATATTATGCAAGTCATAGCAGAGATGACTTACGGTATTTGGGAGGCGCAGCTCTGTTGGAAATACTACCCGACAAGAGAGTTTGGTGAAGCTGTTCATCTCCTCGGAGTATTTGAACCTCTTTAAGTGGAGAGTAAGTATCCAAGGCGGTTTCTTAACGCGCATGCTGTTGTGAAAAATAGAAAAAGGACTGGAAGAATGGAGAGGAATAAACAAGCAGAATGTTTGGCCAAAAACCTATTTTTGTCAGCCAGCTTTAGTCCGAGAACCAATGGGCGACCAAGCATACAAAAAAATGGATACAACAAACGACTGAACTATACACTGGAAAAATTTGATACGTGGAAGAAAATGTTTGATGGAGTAGTCATGTCTGCCATAATTGCCAAAAGATTGGATTGAAAAACTCGTCACCAAAAATGCAACGTCCACTGAAGACCAACAGGCTGAACTCAATGCCAGTGGCGAAACGAAGGACAACGTGCTATGGAAACCATAATCACTTTTACGTCGTACTATGCCTCGATTGCATTCTTAGAAATCACGAATTTTCACACCAGCTGCTCAAGCTTTCCATTTGATATGCTTCAGATAACAATATCAATGAGTTACGGAGAATCTGAGCCGTGGCCTTCCGCCAGCCCTTGTCAATGACCTTTAAGGCACGTATAGTCATGCAGGCAGCAAAACGAGCGAGCACAGCGAGTGACCTATGAATCCTTCATTAGCAATGCTCTCCTTATTAAAGCCTGGTTGCAGGACTCTAGTACTAAGTCTGGTTAACGAGTAAGAGAAGCAACCCCTGCATTCCTTCGGTATCATGGGAGTATCACCCACCGGTTTAGCTGACGGCAGAGCAGCTCTAAATTGAAATGCCGAGGTCGCGCTGACGAAATTCAATTACCTGGGAAGTTGTATCAGCACCCATGGGATCGAAGACGAGGTAACGAACCGTATAGCAAAAGCTCGGAGTGCTTTTGCTAACCTTCGCCACCTATGGCGGCGGCGCGACATCACTCTCGCCCTGAAGGGTAGAGTGTACAATGCAGCGGTACGTTCGACCTTACTGTACGGTTGCGAAACCTGGCCCCCTAAGGTCGGCGGACTTGAAGAGGCTAGCTACGTTCGACCATCGGTGCCTTCGCAGTTTGGCTCACATATGGTGGGAACACCGTGTGAGTAACGAGCGTGTTCGACACATTGTTTGCGGCCCAGGAAAAGGATCTGAACCGCTCAGCACCGTTATTTCCCGCACCAGGCTCCGATGGCTGGGCCACGTGTTACGCATGCCAGCCCACCGACTCCCTCGAAGTGCGTTGTTTGCTCACCGGGGATGTGGGTGGAAGAAGAGGAGAGGTGGCCAAGCGATGACTTGGTCCAGAGGAATGAAGTCCATCACTTCGGAGCTAGCCTCGGTTGGAGCTTCACGACTCCCTGGTTGGGGTCCAAAAGACGGTGAACACGTTTGGCTGGATACACTTGCTGACATGGCAAGGAGCAGACCTCAGTGGCGTTCATGCTGTGAGTTTCTTTGTCCCTCCCCATCCCTTTTAGTCTCCCCTTCCATCTACGATCTCATTTCCTAGGGTAATACAATAAAAAGAATTTCTTTTTGCCTAGTAGCTGGCTGGAAGTTTACAGGAACGATGCCTATCCGTTGCTGGTAGCTCAGCTGGCTTGCAACTGTTGTATCTATTTTTCCTTTGTGTATTGTATTATATGTATGTATGTATTTCTTTCATGTATTGCGGCACAGTAGCGGAGGTGTTTTCCCACCTCTAGCTGATGTGTATAATGATGATGATGATGCGCTGACGAATAGTTCCAGGTCAACAATTGGCCAGGCCAAATTCCGCCTCAGGACTGGTTTAGGATCAGGAGACGTAGTGTAGACAAAGGAGTTGCTCATCGCTCCTGTCTACACCTCAACTAACGGAACCCGTGACTTATTCATGGAGGGGTTTTTGCACGAACTTGACTCTTTTAAAGTGAAGTTGGTGAACCTAACGCCGTCGCCTTTGCCTGATAATTTAGTCCTGCTGCCAACAGGGTCACGTGTCACCTTGGCGGCCACCGGGCACCCAAGGAGAGCCATTCGGATGGGAGCTAAACTTCTGGCACAGTGTAAAGAAATCTGACTGTTTCTCTCAAGCGTCAATGACAAAAATAGGGGGATATGCCGTGCTATTTGGTTTCATCTTATGCTAATGGGAGTATGGAGATAAATAGGTCAAGATGGAATTCGTACCTCATGACAGGACAGTAATTCGGATAGCAGGTTATTTTTGTCCATCTGGTCAACCTGAAAACGCGAGATGGTTAGTGAAAATACTTAGTGGATCTTTGAAGCCAAAGCGTCATGAAACTGATACGGCCAAGTTGGGCTGTCAATATCCATTGTAATAGGCACATAACAGTGACCCAACCTAGAATATGGAACAACGGTAGATCTCCTCTACAGAGATTCACTTCCGGCCAATCAAGCTGCAGTCCAACCAGGCAGTTATCGATCGCCGAACGCTCTCTAAGAGCTGTATGGTTGCCGACCGGTTATCTAAAGCAAGAAACATTGCAACACAAATGCTGCTTTTTCAGATAGTAGCTCAAACAAAACCTGGGGCGTTTGTGAAGGTTAGTAGTGTCAGAGATGGAGGTTGCTGCCTCATCTGGACGTTTTCACCAGTCCTACCGGATCATGCAAACCTCCGATCACAATAAACCTGGCGTTAGTGAGGCTATAAGCAAGACAGATGGGTTACTTACCATTAGACTGTAAAAGGTGTATAGACTGTTGAACACTGCACCTACATTGTTAACTCAAACGATCTTAACAATCTGCTTCGGCGCCTAGAACGCACAATTACATGGGTCGCGTCGATAGGAACACTCGAGGAGACGGAAGCTCGATCTTACAGTTAACACTTGAGGTAATTTGGAGTTTCAGGCAAGGGTGGATCTCCACCAGCGCTGCTCAAGAAAAAAGTTCTAAGTGATTAAGGCGTTTCACAAGATTCGGGAGGAAGAGTTCTACTAGGATAACTCAGTTATTGCCCAAATTTTTCTTCATGCATAAACCATGGAAGTAAGTATGCGCCGATGACAATGACCAACCGCGAGTTTCGGCGAGCTTGCGTTATTGTGGTGAGTAGCTGTTTGGTATCGGGAAAGACCTGCAAGCCAGTAGGCAAGAGCATCACTCTTTCAATGTAGGAGTAAGTCTGTGTCGTTTGCGCTCTATCACAATCGAGTTGAGTTCCTAACTCGAAGCAGTTATCGCACACAGTCAAAGAAGTCCTTCAGTTTCAAGCTCCCAATGAAAAGAATTAAAAAAGGAGTTGCTTGACATTAAAAAGGTGATCTGTTGGTACGAGTAGGAGGTATCGATAGCAGGCAGGAAAATAGGACCGATAACTTGAAGTCACGTAACCAGCAGTGATTGCATACCGGATTGGCTACTACGAAAACGCCCACACATATGCGGATTGGAGCCAGTAACTCAAAGATAAAAAGTAGAATGACAGAACCACTCTGTTACCGTTGATAGGAATGCTTGTAAAAGTGCCGTTCGACACAACTCAATGAATCGAGGAGGCACGCGAACAGCTACACCCCGATAACGTCCAGGTTCGTCTTGTTGGTTGGCATATAAAAGTTGCAAGCAACCTAGCCATCGATTAACATTATGCCTATTTTAAGGTCTTGCTCGACAATCTCGGTTGGGGATTAAAACATTCAAGTAAGGTATTTCCTTTGCCTTTTAAAATTTCAACGCTTTGCTTTAGAATGGGTACTCGAATTTGCATGCTTACTTTTAGGGTATGTAGATGGACTAATTGGATAACTTCGTTTGCCTAAGTAGATGTATTCTGGTGGAGGTACCAAAGAAAAGTCCCTTCATATCACCAAATCGCGATTGGCTCTAACCATTTCTAAAGACTTATGAAGTCGTCGAAACTTGGCTCGCTCGTGGAAATTTACAACGTTTGCACGATGTTTCCGTATTGAAACGAATCTTGGTTTGCGTGGATAACGTACGTTAGCATATAGGGTTGGACATTCAAGAGATGTGGAGAATCGTGCGTGGACGGTGGCAAGAAGTCTGGAACTGTGAAATGGTGACTTAGGAAATGAGTCAGCCATTCAGTACGCTTGAGTTTGCGCTAATAGATATGGGGCTCAGTCGAGCGCTAAGCACGCATTGCAAGCTTTAATGACTTTCCCGGGAGAGCGTTGGATGAGGCTGTGGAGAGGTCGACCCTTCGCTTGATAACAAGAATCGAAATCAATGGCTTCGCATTTGGCATCGTTGTACCTATGTGACCACAAGGTTTTGGACCAAAAAATCGAAGAAAGTAGATAGCTCGAAGCACTTGGCTGTGTTCATCCTACAGGCTGTTGCCAATATATAAAATCAATTCAACCACAACACTTAAGAATCAATATGGGATTTTCCAGATAATGAGCAGAGTAGCTGTAACTTGTTTGCGATTGGCCGATTTAGCCCATGCCACAGTGGTTGTCCAGGATTACAATTACACTGGAGCTGCTCAGTGTCAGCGCAACCTCAAGCAACTATCGTTCTCGCTGGTGCATCTATAATCGGGACCGGAAATCAGTATCCTATGTATCGGGCAGAACTGGCGCTTGGTGCATTTACTGCTTCCATGAAATGTCAAACATTTTCATTAGAACAGTAAATAGAGATCAATGTTGCGCTTGGTCGTAAAAATGCAGTGGTAGGCAGCAATGAAACATGGCTTAGATATCTAGCGAATGACACAAAACCAGTATCAAAAATCGTACATGACCATGTCAAACCGGCGTACGTTGTCTTGTGGTCCAAGGTGTTAGGTGATTCCGCTGTCTTAAACCAACTAGGAAAAACCAGAGTTGAAGTGCAGTTAATTGAAGTATTCCCAGCGTGTGTACGAAGTCCGACAACTGATTAGGAGAAATACTGTAGGTGGTACGCACGCATGAATCTTAAGGATTTCCAGAAACTGGTGGATTAAAAACCGTGGTATTGAGTGGCGCTTGTTTAAATCACCGAAAAAGGATGTCCCTAAATGAAGCGCATGACGGAAGCAAATTTGGTTCAAGGGTAGGAAAATTGGTGCTACGGGTGACAGCTGGGACTAGCACCTGAGGTAGCGTTCATTAATCACAAGGAATATGGGATTATAGACGGCTACAATGGCACGTGGTTGACCTTTGCACTAGATCTGATGATAAGGCGTTAAAAGTGAGGTTGCTAAATACATCTACTCAATATTGACGGGGGACTCAGCAGGTGACAAGGTAGTATCGCCCAAAAGGGACGTGAAGACATAAAGCGCAGTGCTGTTTGGACCAACTGGTTAAACCTTCTCTAAACACATGCTAATACAAACGTTTTCCGAAGCCCCTTTCGACTTATAAGGATCAAACACGGTATACGGCGCACATAACGCCCCCTCGTACTACTTTAAGGAATCCATTCAGCTCCGTTCACTAGGCCATGTGCATAACAAAATATTGAACGGTTCTAACATAATTGCATAAAATTCTTCTAAACGGTTAGGTTGAATCTGTCGAACATTAGATACGAGCATGATTTTGTAAACCGACAATGTAAGAACCGGTAGAGCTGCAAATGAGCGAGCAATATTGGATTGGCGTTTCGCTCTAGCGACCCGTTTGCAACATGCAGGTCAGGTATGGATATCTACAACATCGAGTAAGTAGCACCTTCCTTAAAGTCGCTAGCAAATAAGTCAGACGGACGAAGCGCCTTACTCAAGTGACTAATGCGTTCGAATCTAGTTCTTGGTCGTCTGATATTAACTGAACACTTGATGTCCGAGTGAAGCATTCCTAGGAGAAAGCAATTCGACGTAGTTGTATCAGTAAAAATGATGAAATCGTCAACAATCTAGCAAGCGCAGCTGTTGCGGGCAACCAGGAGCATTATGACTGGTTGCGTCCGATTCCGGATTTGCCTATCGCTGTGGGTTCCATAGGACATCCACATGATGCCTGCGCCTACAGAGGCACCATGGATGGCTTGCAGTGCATCACCCACAGCTCTATCCTAACACCATATATACAGTGTAAACCCGAAGGAATAAGACCGGAAGGCATGTGGATGGGAGCCCTGTTTCATCAACGGAGCCGGCCCACACTCTTTCGACATGCACAGCAGCAGCATTCCTGTCTAGCTGTGCAGAGAATCATGCGTAACAGACGTACACAAGGCCGTAGCCCGTTCCATAATGGATGTACGGAACCACGCTTCGAGCGTAGCACGGCCACGAGGACTGTGCACCGCGACCCCTCCAGCAACGAATAACTGTCTCCTGGAGCTAGTATAGGTGTGGTGATGGGTAATAGACGGGTAGGTACCCTGTCAACATTCACATCAAGCGCAGCCACAGCGGGGATTTCAATCAACAATCAACGTCTGAAATGCAAGAATCTCAAAACGCAGGCAAGCGCAAAGACCAACTGCAACGACGATGCGGCACACGTACCACCGCCTTATTGAAATAGGTTAGTAAATTGAATCGGAGGTAGTGAACTTACTATGTGCCGCGCTGATGATAACTACACGGTATAGTCGTCTTCTGGTGTAATATATGTATACGTGCATACACAATACGGTATAAGAACCACGGCAAGAGGACAAGAGAGTAAAGAGAAATAAGTCTATTTTTGGAGGGTCAAGTTTGGACCACATGTTGTGTGATTGGATTGCGACGCGCAATCTCAATGTAATGGACTGTGGTTCACATTGAAGTGAACCTTAGTCACTGCGATCACTGGGACCGTACTCAAAACAGATGGAAATTGGGTGTTGCCCACCCGAAAACACTGCACAATCACGACGCGTTTCGATGTAATTTTATCTCATCAGGTGGAGACAGCAGGCCTCGATCCCGCGACCATTGGAATAGTGGCCGAAACCTCTACCCCTTTTGCTGCCGGGTCACAGTGGGCAACGCTTGGCACAACGGTAAATGACTAAGTCTATTCTTGTTTCACACATGTAATTTTGCGGTTTCTGTTGTTTTTCGAATGAACACCAAGTAATAGATGATACGGAAGAACAACACTGGCGCCACGGGCGTCTAATGCGAGCCATAATATGTGTCGCGTGGTCCCCAGGATGGAAGGTGGAATGCTCCAGCTAAATCTAAGCTTGAGGTAGTCTTATTCATCCTTCTTTCCAACGTCATTGGTTAGCCACCGCAGCAATTTTTCCAATCGCTTCCGAGGAACGCGAATAACAATCAACGAAGAAGCAGTAGGCTGGTATGGATATAC